AACATCACCGTCTGGACGGTGAGCGGAGGCGTTGCCAGTTTGCCGATACAGCGACAGGATCGCCTCTATCCGGAGCCCATAACACAGCTGCATGCGACAAATATTACGGATACGGAAATATCGCTGCGCTGGGATCTGCCCAAGGGCGAGTACAACGACTTTGACATCGCCTACCTGACAGCCGACAATGTGCTGGCTCAGAATATGACCACGCGCAATGAGATCACCATCAGCGACCTACGTCCGCATCGCAACTATACATTCACCGTAGTCGTGCGCTCCGGCACGGAGTCCTCAGTGCTCCGTAGTAGTGCTCCGCTCTCCGCCAGCTTTACGACGAACGAAGCTGTGCCAGGGCGCGTCGAGCGCTTCCATCCGATGGACGTGCAGCCGAGTGAGATCAACTTTGAGTGGTCGCTGCCGTCGAGCGAGGCGAACGGCATCATTCGGCAGTTCTCGATTGCGTACACGAACATCAACAATCAGACGGATTCGGGCGTGCAGGACTTCGATTCGGAGGAGTCCTTTGGCGTTATCCGCAACCTGAAGCCCGGCGAGACTTACGTATTTAAGATTCAAGCAAAGACGGCCGTTGGCTACGGCCCGGAACGGGAATACAAGCAAACGATGCCCATTCTGGCGCCACCACGTCCCGCCACCCAGGTGGTGCCCACCGAGGTATATCGCAGCTCATCGACCATACAAATCCGATTCCGAAAGAACTACTTCTCCGATCAGAACGGACAGGTGCGCATGTACACGATCATCGTGGCCGAGGATGATACAAAGAATGCATCCGGCCTGGAGATGCCCAGCTGGATGGATGTACAGTCCTATAGCGTCTGGTTGCCCTACCAGGCCATCGATCCGTATTACCCATTCGAGAACCGTTCCGTCGAGGACTTTACCATCGGCACCGAGAACTGTGACAATCACAAGCTCGGCTATTGCAACGGGCCCCTCAAATCGGGCACCACCTATCGGGTCAAGGTGCGCGCCTTTACCGGCCCCGACAAGTTCACGGACACCGCCTACAGTTTCCCCATACAAACAGGTGAGACGTTGCTCACGTATCTATGTAGAGCTCTCTTCTTTCATTCATCGAACTAACTCGTAAGACATTAATTAAAGTGAAATGAGTGCTCAATGATTGACTGACAGCAGTATTGACTGACTGGTCGATTGAATGGGCGACTAATAGACAAATAGACTGATTGAAATTGATTGAATGCTTGTTTGACGAGCAAACTGATGAATAAATCGACTGACTGATAGATAGAGTGATTGACTTACAAACTCATTGACTGACTTATTGATTGTTTGTGTAATTGACTGATAGATTGACCAAGTCATCAAGTTATTGATTGACTGCCTGACTCACTGACTGATTGACTAAGTTATTGATTAATTGACTGAGTGAGTGATTTATTGAAAGACCTATTGACTGATTGTGGACAGATTGACCAGTTGATTGACTGACAGATTGAGTGATTGACTCCCTTACTCAGAGAGTTATTGAGTACAGATTGACTGATAGATTGATAGATTGACATATTCATTGATTGACAGACAAGTCTGACTGACTGACTGCTTATTGATTGACTGATTGATTCATGCATAATAAATAACTAATCCAACTGCAACTTATATTTAATCCGATTCTAATCCATGTCTTGCCTACGGCATGCTCTATAATCATATTTATAGAGCTGCTGAGCTCACCGGGTAAGCCTTCATCCAGGATAAATCAATTCAACTGCTATTGAATGTGACTAATCCAATCTCTTTCTTTTTCACTCTATCTCGCTGTCCCGCTCTTTGCAGACCAAGGCAACTCGACGGTTATTGTGGCCATCACCGTGCCCCTGACGATCATCGTCGTGCTGCTCTTCACGGTGCTGTTCTACAAGAGACGTCGCAACAATTGCCGCAAGACCACGAAGGACTCGCGGGCCAATGATAATATGTCCCTGCCGGACAGCGTCATCGAACAGAATCGTCCCATTCTGATCAAGAACTTTGCGGAGCACTACCGCCTCATGTCGGCCGACTCGGACTTCCGTTTCAGCGAGGAGTTCGAGGAGCTGAAGCATGTCGGCCGGGACCAGCCCTGCACATTCGCCGACCTGCCCTGCAATCGGCCAAAGAATCGCTTCACCAATATTCTGCCCTACGATCACTCGCGCTTCAAGCTGCAGCCCGTCGACGACGACGAGGGCTCTGACTACATCAATGCCAACTATGTGCCCGGTCACAATTCGCCACGCGAATTCATTGTCACCCAGGGGCCGTTGCACTCCACACGCGACGACTTCTGGCGCATGTGCTGGGAGAGCAACTCCCGGGCGATTGTGATGCTCACCCGCTGCTTCGAGAAGGGCCGCGAGAAGTGCGATCAGTACTGGCCCAACGATACGGTGCCCGTCTTCTATGGCGACATCAAGGTCCAAATACTCAACGATAGCCACTACGCCGACTGGGTGATGACCGAGTTTATGCTGTGTCGAGTAAGTAGCCTCAGCTTCCGTCTAGCCCCTCATTGAAGTTCACTTGACTGTGATTCATACATCGAATTGATCTTTCCCTTTACCAAGGGATGCCTCGGTGCTCTGCTCCCTCTGTATCTCTCTGTCTCTCTCTCGCTCTCACTCTCTCTCTCTCTCTCTCTCTCTCTCTCTCTCTCTCTTCAGTTCTGACTGTCTTTGCGACACTTCCTAAATTCACCTTACCAAGGGATCCCTCGAAGCTCTGTTCCCTTCTCTCTCTCTCTATTTCTCTCTCTCTTCAGTTCTGACTCTCCTCCGACATTTTCTACATTCACTTTTCCATGAGATCCGTCGTAGCTCTTCTCCCTTCTCTCCCTCTCGCATCAGTTCTGACTGTCTTTGCGACACTTCCTACATTCAAGGGATCCCTCGGAGCTCTTCCTACATTCTGACCCTACTCTTCACTGTATAACAACTCTACCTTTTATATACCACTCACCCCCTCTCTCTCTCTCTCTCTCTCTCTCTCACCTACAGGGCAGTGAACAGCGCATCTTGCGGCACTTCCACTTCATCACATGGCCAGACTTTGGTGTACCCAATCCTCCCCAGACGCTCGTCCGTTTCGTTCGGGCATTCCGAGATCGAATCGGCGCCGAGCAGCGTCCCATTTTGGTGCACTGCAGCGCTGGCGTTGGCAGATCCGGCACCTTTATCACACTGGATCGCATACTGCAGCAGATCAATACGTCCGACTATGTGGACATCTTTGGCATAGTCTATGCCATGCGCAAGGGTAAGACCACATAGCCAATCTCCCTCAGCTACCAGCTAATCCAACTCCAATCCAATTGTGCAGAGCGCGTCTGGATGGTGCAAACGGAGCAGCAGTACATCTGCATACATCAGTGCCTGCTGGCGGTGCTCGAGGGCAAGGAGAACATTGTGGGACCGGCCCGTGTCATGGACGACAACGAGGGCTTCGAAGGTAGGTGCGGCGATTCACGTAGGACCCGTTGTTGCCTGGTGCTGGGCCGCTCGTTGCGAAACGCCTCGTTTCTTTTAACACTAACCCACAAATGCTGCACAGACTTTGTGCTTAGTTTGTTTATCTGAAATACTCTGTTCACAAGTGTGAGCAAATGAGTGTTAGAACGTGAAGTGCAGGACTTGCAGATACCCTGTAATCGAAAAAATCCAGAAATATATCACAGGAGTCAATCGATGTGATATTGAATTGAGAGAATAATTTGAAATATCCCACTATAGAGCATAGACAGTATATCCGCTATAGATAGGCACAATAAGCGCTATACTTGTGTTATCGATAAGTATCGATTGTAAGCCCAGCTTTTACAGCCTATCATACATATTTGATGAGCACAAGCTTTTCATTTCTGGTCTATATGAATGGTTTTTGGGCAATGGAAAAGTAAATAAAGTTTTTCGATATATGTAGATAGATCGATAAATATCTATTTTATCTATATCTATTGATTTATAGAACAGATGAGTCAGAGGATTTATAAGTTTGATGCTATACAACCAGTATTTTCTTTTTTGATATTCAATAAAACATTGATAGCACGTGCATCGATAAATATCGATGGCAAAGCTCGATTTCCATGAGGATTTTAAGTGCTATATGTAAAAGCCATGCAAATTTATGATTATTCATTGCCATTTTTTAGCAAACTATTGTGGGCTTCTTCTGCATACATAAAATCGATAACTATCGATACAATGCTGATGCAACTATGAACTCTTTAGCAGCTTTTAATAAGAATCTCTAAGAAGAAACCTACGTTTTTGGCATACAAACTATAAATATAGAAAACTGCAGCGTTTTGAGCCAATCGATAAATATCGATTGACAATATAGCCTCGAAATGGCACTTAATCTGCTTAATATGATAAATAGAAAAACTGAGATATTAGCCTGTCAGTCAAGAAGGAAACTGAAAAGTGTTTATAGGGTATCTACTAGTCGTGCACACTCCACACGTGAGCAGAGTTCATTTTATACACATTTTGGTGCTGGGTTCGGCGACATGACTAACAAAAATGCAAATTTCTTCTAACACACACGCACACACACACACATACACACAAACACACACAAACACATTGACACATACACACTCACACACACCAAATATGGCATATGCGTGTGTATGTGTGTGTAAGTAGGCGGAGATGGTCAACTGGATGAGCATGGCGCCATATTGGCGACCATCGAGGAGCAACTGCACCACCAACTGGAGGCAATCGATGACGAGAACGCGGCGATCCACCACGACGAACAGCAGCCGCTGACGAGCAGCAGCTTCGGGAACACCAGCAACGGGTTGGGCTTGGGACTGGGATTGGGCTTGGGCTTGGGCATGGGCATGGGCATGGGCATGGGTCTCGGCTCCAACTCGATGAGCTCGTTCGGCATCGATGCGCCGGACAGATGACATTCGGCGGTTGTCAACCAGAGCGATAACAACAACTCGGTGGTTATCGTGCTGGTTGACAACAAGCCCAGCTCGATGATCTGCAAGGAGGGCAGCCGCGTGGACATCGACTCCAAGGAGGGTATGCAATCGCAGCAGGCTGCAGCGCCCATCATGACCAGTTCGCTGCCGCCGAATGGCTACAATACGCTCCAGCATCGTCGCAAATCCCAATTGATCACGTTCAGCGCCAGCTCCAGCGACATCAAGAACAGCCTCAGCCATGAGCTGATCACGGCCAGCGGTCGACTTAGCTATGCCGAGGAGCAGCAGCAGCCGGCGGCTCCTGCCACGCCCACTGCATCAACTCCGACTGCTGAGCAGGAAGTCTATAGCAGGCGTTCGCTAGAGATGGGCGAGGAGCTCGCACTGCAGCTGGAGGAGGACGAGGAGGGGGAGGAGGCGGAGGCCGAGGAGCAGGCCCAGGAGGCGATAGAGCAACAGCAACACCAACAACAACAGCAGGACGAAGAGGACGACGAGGAGGTGGAGGACGGCCTAGTTGTTGAGGATGTGGAAGATGTGCTCTACATGCACGACGAGTTCGAGACGCACATCGACGCCAAGTCGAACAACGCCAACGACGACAGCGGCGGCGGCAGCTACGAGGACTCCCACGCGCTGCACAGCTCGCTGGGCGGCAGCAATCGGAATAGCCTGGAGAAGGACGACGACGACATCGAGGTGGATGTGATTAGCACCGATGTCAGCTGCTACGATCAGCTGCTGGGCAGCAGCTGCAACACGCGCCACGGCGACGACGACGATCTGGCAACGCTAATCGGCGACAACGACCACCTGGTCAAGGGGCAAAAGGGCCATGCTGCCGCAACAGCAGCTGCTAACGGTGGTGCTGGTGGTGTTGGTAATGGGTTGGGTAATGCTGCTGGTGGGCATGGCACCATGGGCGGCATGGGCGGCGGCGCAGCAGCGGCTGCTCTGGGCAAATGCGCTTTGGAGCCGGGCTCGAATGTTGGCAATGGCAATGGCGGCATTATCTATGCCAATCCATTTATGGGTTTGTAATACGCTCTCTCTCTCTCTCTCTCTCTCTATCTCTCTAGCTTACTACCTCTTTCTCTCTCTCTCGCTCTGTCTCTCAGTCTATCTCGCTCTTGCATGCTTAACACACCTAAAGCTAACTCTTTCTGCTGCATGTTTCACGTTGTATTTGTTGTTATTATTATTA